AAATAAAAGTAAAAATAGCAAAGAATTGGTTGGTTTTGGGATTGAAATGCTATTATATTAGGTGATAATAATAGGAAACTATAGCTTAATATTAATTTGAATATAAAGATAAGGAGAATTAAATTGTATAATTGAACATTGTCTTGTAATCTCTGAAGGATAGAGCTGAATAAATATTTAAAATTTAAATTATCTATGAACCAAAATTTTATATGTAAAAAATTAAGATTATAAAAATTGAGAAAAGTAAAAAGAAGGAGATTATTGGAGGTAGAATGATGGGACATGTATACTATGGAGTAGGAAAATCTTTGAGTTTAAAGTAATTATCACTGTTGGTAAAATGAATTCTAATTAAAAATATAAATTAAATAATTGATATAATCATGACCAAACTTATGAGTTGGTAGTCGGGTCTTGGCGAGGGTGAAGTTTCGAGGAATTTCTGGTTCATATATAGTTAAATTCAGATTCTAAAAGAGAGAATTCAAATTAGAAGTCATTGAATGTTCTGTGATAAACAAAATAGATATAATAGTTCAAGGATTCGAAATCCTATGACAAAAGAACTTAGTATATATCAGAAAGGAAAGATAGATTCTACTTGAGAGAAATGATAAGAAAATTTTGACTTCTGTATTTGATAGCATTCAGTTAGAAAATAGTTTTATATTATATTAATTGAATCCATATACAGCTTATGATGTATTATGTACAATTGATTAAGGTGTTATAATAATAATAACTGAGAATAAGAGTTGATAAGATCATGACTTAGCTAATACAATGAATGTTGAATAAAATTTAATTCTTTGACTAAAGCAATTAAAATAAGGAATTTCTATTAATATGGCAACTTTTGCAATTACTTTTTTATTAGTAAAGAGGAAGATATATTTATTCCTTTTAGATACATAATAATTAGATATTTCATTCAGTTAGTAAGCATGAGCTGGACAGTTTAATTACTATTTTATTGGAACAGTGGAAACTGATAAGAATGAATAGGTGAAATTGGGATATTTAAACAAATATTGAGAGAATACATGCTAGAGTAAAGACTGAAAAAATATTAAAAACTTATAGGAATAGTGGATGTGATAACGGATGTTTAAGATTCATCTTAATAGATTGGAATTTCCAATCATATGGTGTCATCATATCAGTAATCAAAATGGAAAATTGCCAGGAATGAGAAGTACCAATTGATGAAATCATTTAATACATGATTTGGAGTCCGATTTGTAAACCTTATTCCGAAATTCTTATGATTGTTAGCAGATGTATTGAGTGAAGAATAGAATTGTTTTATAAAGAGTTTTTGCGAACATATCGTATGCTTTTAAGGGAATAACTAATTAGTTAGGTCCAATTGCAGGAATGTACAATTAAAAAAAAACTTTTTTCCAGATGTTGAGGGAATTCAATGAAGTACATTAACCTTGTTTGGAATAAGAATTATAGAAGAAAACAAGATTGAGTTTGAGGGATATTCCTATATCATAAATAGGTATAATATTTTACAGGTGGGATAAGACAACTGCAATACGACTGGAGAAAAAAGGAATAGCCCAATGATATATTATCTGAATATTCATGCATTCATTGGGATATAAGAAATAGAAACATAAGACAAAGGACCCATTAGTCTAAATCAGTGAGTTGAATTTATTGGTTTTAACCATTTCTTTGATCTCTTACTTAACTAGACCAAAAAGGGGCACTACTGTTTTAGGATTCTTATTTTTCTAAACGTAAACTTGCATCTAATAAGATTGATTAAAGGCAGAAAGAAATAGGGGTAAATTGGTTTGGAAAATTTTACCATCTCAATTAAGCTTGTTAAAAAAAAAATTATAGGCTGAATTTCTTTATGAAATTGAGTATAATAGAAATGGCTTTGCAAATTTTAGAAAAATTGAATTAATAATTATCCGGCATGGTAAAACTAACTGGCTAATTCATAAGTTCTTTTCATAATGTAGTTAAGAACATGTTATGGTAGACAATTTGGAAAAAGAGGATAGATAATAGTTAATAACTAAAATTAGGAAACTTGAGTTGGTGAATTTAAATTCTCTACATCGTTGAGTTACTACTAGTTTTTATGGGATTCTATTAGTAGGATTTGAAAAGAGATCGTTATCTAACTTTCGTGGAAAATGGTAAGTTGGTTAAATAAGGTGATTGCTGGATAAACCAAATCTCCTATTAGTTGATAGCAATTAGCTTAGAGAAATGTCATTGATTTGTTGCAATAACTTGTGAGTATGGGCAAAGAATTGTCTCTTTAATTGGAAAATGATCAAATAGTAACTTAATGGCAAAATTGATAAGAACGAAAAACTTCTAATTCGCAGCAAACATCTTATTTAATTATAGTAACAACTTCAATGATTATGAGGGCTATATGGAATTGGAAATTATGGAAAATGGATTGAGTCAGCATGTAAGTTTTTGAAATTTTAAAATAAGAAGTCCAAACTATTGATAAGTAGTAAATTTGATTGAAATGCGATTCTTATATCAGTAAGATATTAAAATACTGTTTAGTGTATGAGTTTCTTATGGTAGTTGTGATCATGGCTATGATAGCTACCTGGAGAGAATAAATGACGAATACATCTATAGTTCCCAGAAATAGCTAACGAGATAATAATCCTCACTTGAGCAGAGCCTATGTGAACGTTACATTCTGATGATAACGGGAATACTAGTAGTCGCATCGTGTGCCTTGGTTATGAATATTTACTTGACTTTGCAACATTGAAGACTATAGTAAACTCCAGTTTAAATAAACCATGTGATAAGGTAGATAACTTGGGGATGGATCAATCTTAACCCATCGTACCCTCCCTATAAATTAGATTTTCTTCCAGTCTGTTCAAATTTTGTCTTAATTAATAAATTTAAGAAAAATTAGTTCACTACCTGGAACTAACGAACTTGCAGTTTTTATAGGACATATGTAGGAAAAGACACAACCCACTATTGTCGTAAACAACTATTATCCTAGTTCTTGTTATTTTTGGCAAAATTATGAGCACGAATTTTTAAGGAGGAAGACTGAAATAACCCCGATTTTTTATTTCAAAAGATTTTCATTTATATTTAATTAACTACAGTTTGGAAAAATGTATCTAAAATATTCTAAATGTGAATTAATAATTTGTACATGATAAACCGAATCAAAACCAGAATTAAAAATCGAAGAAACAAACTAAAAAATCAAGATTTGGCCGATATCGAACCAATCAAGCCCAACCACTTCTAGAAAGCCTCTCCCCTCAATCCAGCGCAAACTTCACCCTATCCTCGCCATTTCTGCGCCAGCCCCAGTCCCAACCACTGTTCCACTGCCGACCACCGCGCCCCCACCTCTTGCTCTCTTCTTCTTCTTCTTCTTCTTCTTCTTCTTTCTTCTTTCTTTCCTTTTTTCTTTCTTTCTCTTCCTTTTTCTTCCCTGCACCTGCGATCGCATCACTGTCCAGCAGCTCCAGTCGAGCGCCACCGCCGTTCTCACTGCTGCTCGTCACCGGAGCAGCTCTGTCGCTCGTCCCACCTCGTCCTAGCTCACGCAGCGCCACCAGATCACACAGTCAGGCCCTCTGCCAGGTCTGTCGCGCCTACAGCAGCAGCACCAGCTTCAAGCCTCGCTGCCAGCCGCTCCTCCGCCTCTCTCTGCCTCTCTTCGCCACTGTTAGTTGGATCCGACCACCAGCAGTCACTGCTTTTCAATCCGGCACGCATAAAAACTCTCGATCTAGCAAAATTCGACAAAAATTATATTTTGGGAGTAAAATTTAAATTTTAATAATTTTAAAGTTACTTGAATAATTTATTATTGTAGTTAATTTAGTTCATTTAATTTTTAGTTTTTTGCGTAGTTTAATTAATTTTATGTAGTGAAATTAATTTAAATAGGTTTAATTTATTGATTAATAAAATATTTAGTTAGTAATTGTAGTTATTTAGTTAGTTAAAATTAATTCAAAATAGTTATTGATTAATTAATATGAAGTAATTATTGATTAATAACAACAATAGTGAGTTAAATTTGCAAAAATTTTGAACTTTTGCAAATTTAACTAATTCTTTTAATTTTAACAATTGTAGCAGTGAATTTATTTTTTCATTTCAATTATAGCTTTCGTCGTGTATCTGTTAAAAGTTGCTGATGTTACAATTAGTGGGCTCTATACTTTGACACCACCGTTGCCACATCAAAATGCCACATCAACCAAAAAAGAGTCAAATAATTGAAAAAAGACATGAACTTTAATCATTTTATAATTTTAACCAATTTTTTTAATTTTGACAATTGATGTCATATGAATTTATTTTTTCTTTCAATTTGTTATATTTTCAAAAAATTATTTATTTTAAAATTAAATTTTGGGTTACAATAATTTATTTTTTAATTTTAAAAAATTTCAAATTTAAATTAAATAGGAAATATATAATGTATTTGTGTGTTATAATTTTATTTTAATATTTTGAAATTAAATTCTTACTTAAATTATAATTTTATTTTAATATTTTGAAATTAAATTCTTACTTAAATTAAATTCTTACTTTTGTATAATATATTAATTATTTTACATGGTTAAACTATAATTAATTATGTGCTAAGTATGTTTATGTAAATACTGTGAAACAACTCATATGATTTTTCAAAATTAAAAAAAAAAGAATTGGCTAAAATTATAAAACAGGAGAAGTTCAGGTCCTTTTTTTTTTCAGTTATTTAGTTTTATTTTGCCGACATAGCGCATGATGTGATGTGGATGTGTCAAAACGTGGGTCCTACTAACGGCAACATCATCAATTTCATAATAGAGGCTATAATTGCAATTAAAAGAATTGGTTAAATTTACAAAAATGACCATAGTTCTGGATTTTTTTGGTCATTTACCCTAAATAAAATAGAAATCAAAAAATTACTAACAAATAAATGTTAAGTATTTTTTATGATATAAATTGACAAATAAGTATACGGATAAACAGAACACATATACATACTTTTGAAACATTAATTATCAAATTGTTAAGTTTCTTATACATTCTTATGGCAGCTGGTTAGCCAAGGCTTTCTAGTGTCAAAACAACCTTTGGAATATCAGTTTCTGTAATTTTTCGGTTCCAGAGCCTAATTGCCTCGATTGATAATTCAAGTATCAATCAATATTCATTTGCAAAACTAACTGCATAATCACAATCTACATTGAAAATACAATGTTCTGAGGATGGGGGTTCTGGTCACTGCTGATCACCACCGGCCGACAGGAGAGCCGCAATATGCGGTTGCCGAAAAACCAACATCCTCCAAAATCTGCAAAATTACAGACAAAATGTTCTAAATTCGACGGAAAGCTCATTATAATGTCAATTTAACAAAAAACTAACAATTTTTAAGTTAATTGGCAAAACCCCAAGTTTCAAAACCTAACATTTCAATATCCTAAAATCTCAATCAATGACTCAAATTACATAAAGGAAAATCATCTAGGAGTAACAAAGATCGATTATCGGCCTACCAGACTGAAAGTAATTTCAGAAACTGCTTCCTTTAATGCAGATAATGGTGGTTCTTCTTGACAGGTGAGAGGGATACTTAACGATTTGGGGCTTCACCATCGCTGGGAGCGAAGGAGGAGGAGAGTCGATCGATCAAAGGTGTCGCCGCTCTTTCACGGCCGGTAATGGCGTCTGCGGCGCTAAGGATTTGCTGCAATCGTGAATCGTATGAGAGAGGTGAAAGAGATTATGTTTGTTCTGATTTAGACTATTTTATATTGAATTAAGCGTTTCGATTCAATTTAACCATTTTGTTTTATCCGGTTTGTGATGGTTTTAAGTCTTCGCGTTTAGTTTCTCATGTATTAACTCGAGTTCAATTTGTTTCAGTTTTTTTTTTTAAATGTAATATATTAAGATTTCATTAAAAACCAAATCAATACAAATAATACATAAGGACATGACTCCTCTCCTGAAGACTAGACATAGAATAAAACTATTATATCTAAAATAAATACTGTTTGCCGATCTAATAAAAAATCCAAAACAAAATTGGAAAGTGAACTTGAAAAAATTAATACATCTTGAAAGTAACTGGTCAAAAACAATTTCCTAAATCTTCTATACATGACCTAATTATTTATGAATTAGTTAATTCCTTATGATAAACACAGAGGATTTGAACCACTAAATCTGATAGAGGAACAGACCGCATTATCAGGCTTCAAAAGATAAATATCATCATGTATTAAAAAAATTCTCCACAAATTACATACATATCCAAATAAAACAAAACAATTGCGGAAAAAAAAAAAAATACTCCACATAAAGTAGAGATCATAAACTCCAAGGAGATAAACAACAAAAAATAGCAGAAACATAAATAATATAGATCTATGCCAAATAGACATAAATTTGTAATTTATTTAATAAAAAACAAAACCATAAATAAGAGGGAGGGGCCATTATAAGAGACAAGAATCAGCTCTTTCCTATATCTACATGTAACACTCTAATTTTCTATATATTGAATGGTGATTTACCGATCTATAAATAGTACAACCTAGCCGGAAATCGGTATTCTTCCAACCCAGAAAAATTACTATTCATGTCTTATATTTTATTTGATTATTTTAGAGCATGTATGTATTATTTTGGTGGATAAAAAATAAGTTATGAATTTATTTGTAGAATTTAAGTAATTAATGAATAGTGAATTGTGGTAGTTTTAGAAATTAGAAAATTTGGAGAATTATTATTATTGAGTAATTTTAATATTTATGATGGAGAAAAATATTATTATGAGAAGTGTATATATAGAATTAATGTGAGCCATTGGATTGAAAAACCTTGACTATATCTACACCACACATTAGACAACTTCCTTAGAAGTTTTCTCTAATTACAAAAATGTCATTAAAATTTTGCAATAACATTTTGAAACAACCCGAATTTTTATTTTCAAAGATTATTTTCAAAGATTTTTCAATTAAATTTAATAAACCGACAGCCTGGAAATTTATTTCAATATTTTAATGCGAACACCGTGAGAAACCGAACCGAAAACCGATTGGAAAAGCCGAAAATAATTAAAAATCGAAGATTTGGGTCGAATCGAACCGAATCAAACCGGTTCGACCCAAACCATCTAGAAAATACCCTTTCTCTTTTTTTCCAGCGCTGCACCTCTCTACTCCTCACCATCACAGCAACGCCTCCCCCTTCCTCTTCTTCTTCTTCTTCTTCTTTCTTTCTTTCTTTCTTCTTCCTCTCTTCTTCTTTCTTGCTGTGACTGCGCCTGCGTAACCTTAGCAGCCAACAGCAGCAGGCGCGATCCAAGCCCAGTCCCGCATCGCCTCCATCGCGCCGCAGCACCGCCTCGCCGCTCCTCCGCCGCGCCATAGCCAGCGCTCCGCCTTGCAGCAGCGCTTCAATCTCGGCAGATCGCAGCCGCCACAGCTCCTCGAGTTCATTCGGCCCAACCACAGCCCTTCTGCTTCCGGTCACGAGCGGCGGCGCACTCAAGTCGGTTCATCGCGCCACCACAGCCCCTTCTGCTTCCGGTCAAGCGAGCGCGGCGCCACCACGTCGCACCACCGCACCGTCGCGCCACCATCCTTGCTGTCCAGTAGATCGCGCCACTTGCTTGCAGTCCTGATGCGCGTAGCTCCGATCTAGCACGCGTAAACATTTCTGATCTAGCGAAATTCAACAAAAAGAATTATGCTTGGGGTATAGAGCAATTCTTGCTAATTCTCAAAATTTATTTTAGTAATTTGGGTATAATTTAACTTAGTAATTTTAGTTAATTAATTTAATTTTATTAATGATAGTTAATTAAACTTAGTCATTTTAGTTAGATTAAGTTTAATAATTTTAGTTACTTAAATTAGTGTTGTTATTGTAGTTGATTAATTTTATTATTTATAGGTAATTAATTTAGTTAATTTGATTTAGCAATTGTGAGTAGTTATTTGAGTTATAATGTAAGTGTTGATTAATTAAAGTTACTTGGTTAATTAAAAAATTTTATGAATTAATGTTGATATAGAAAATGTGGAGAACGGGACTAATTTACTGGATTGATTGCCCGACGGATGGGCTGCGTGTTTTGAAAATATTGGATAAATTATTGATATTTCAACAGGTGGATAGTCCAATTTTTAGTGGAGATGCTGCCGAAATTTCGGTAGAAAATAAGTAAAATATAGTTAGATAGAGAAAAAAAAATTTAGACATAAAATAAAATTTTTAGAGTGGTCAAGAATTATTTTGTCTAATAGAATTAATTTTGCGTCATTCTTACTTTGCTTAGATCGCCCGGCCGGGTCCATCTAGCTGCTCCTCCAAGGACAGGATCAAAGCCTAAACTTGAACTCCACTTTCCATCACTGTGAGTAATATAATAATGCCCATATCAACATGCATTAACATGAGCAATTTTTATTTTTACACACCTTAATTATATATAAATATATATACATGTATATTTTTATATTAAACTTATATTTATTTTATGCTGCATAATTATATATTTGGCTGTACTTGGTGTTGTACGTGTGAAAGAATTTGCTGTGAATAATTGTGCCTGTGCATATATATTGTGATTTTGTTTTGTGTGAAATTGGATGAAGTGGGTCACACAATGGGACTGGTGGACCGTACGTTATACTGGAATCCATATGAATTACCGTTAGCCGGGTAAATGGGAGGATCGGCGCCCCGTGTGCACCTACCGTTACCGTTCCGTTAACCACGGGTTTGGCTTCTCGTTGTTGCGCACCGACAGTCTAGATTTTGATTTCGCAGCCCGCAGTGGCCTCCTGTTGTAGCGCTTGATGATCTAGATTGGACTGAGACCACCGAGTTGCCTCCTGTTTGGTATGCAAAGACAAAAGAGGAATGTAAAAAAACAACGAGAGGGCTGGTCAAGTGAGGATTAAGACCGGTCGGCCAGTAAATGGGGGATGGCTCCCTGGTGCATCATGTGAGAGGATGAGCCATGTGGAGGACGGCTTCATCGGGGGTTCGGTGACTCCACTGACTAATTTCCACGTGATGTGATTTCTTGGAAGATGCTTTGTTTATGTGGGGGTGCTGATGTTATGCCAATATGATTGATTTTGTGTGATCATTTAGTATGTTAGGTGTGCGCATTTCGTGTGACTGTATTGTGGTTTGTGTATTATTTATTATTATTCACTGGAGTTGCAAAAACTCACCCCTTCTCTCCAAACTTCTTCAGGTATTAGGAAGTTGCCGACCAAGGAAGCTCTGCAATCTCTCCGCAGAGGTTATAAATGTAAACTTTATATTTCTGTTATTTAAATTTGGATGTATTAATTATCCTATTATCAGATTACTATTGATCTCCGCAGTTATATGATTGTGTATTTTGATTAGGCTTGCCGTATGTGTTCTACTGAAATGACATGTTATATATTAGGCGTAGGCGTATTAGTACACACATACTCTGAATATGACGTATCATAATTAGGCCCAAATTAAACTTCAATTGAGACATTTAAATTTTGGGCCGGATTGTATAATAATTATATTTAAACCCTAGTGGTATGGGTTTACTGTTATTATTACTGGTGTGGCATGTATAGGTAGAGTTGTATAGGTAGAGTAGTTAGGCTTACTTACGGGCCTACGGGCCTCGGGGGCCTTAAGCTTACCTGGGCCCTAGTGCCGGTCCGGCCCACGGAAATGGGTCGTGACAAAGGTGGTATCAGAGCAAAAAGTTCATAAGTCTAGTAACTGCGGAGTAATTCCTGTTATGTCTTAACATAGTCTTCCTTGCTTTCCCCTTCAGCGTTATTCGCAGCTAGGTTCAAGTCAAGTTGTCTAATGATTAAAAATTTATATCCTTGTTCTTTAGAGATGTGATTTAGTACTGATGCTAAAGGGATGGATTAAACAAAAATCCTTCTATGGAATAAATAATATTCATATAAAGTATGTAATAAGACAAGTTATATATGATTAATAAGTTGAAGTTAAATGGTGAAAGTATCCTATTTTTATTTAATATGTGTTGAATGTGGAATACATATTTAAGAATACATGAATGTGTGTATAGGTGTGCCTGCGGAATTGAGAATGAGCTAATTATTTAACAAGAGAACTAAATGATTCGGATTCGAGGACATTAGAATTTATTTAATTAGAGTATTGAATCAGTATAAGTAATTGATGAAATTTACTTGATGTTGGTTGGTGAAATTTATTATAATTATTGAGATAAATATTTTTCTGGACGGAATAGATATATTAATTAGTGTAAGTATATAAATGATTTTTATAAGGATTAAATATGGAAGGATTTGGTGTGATTTGCTATAATAAATGGTGATGAGTATTTTTCATAAGAAACAATATTGGTGGAATTATTATATGGAGAGAGTTTTATTTATGAGTAATTACCGCTTGGTGGGGTGAAGTGTATTGTAGCATTGATCAGCTATTTCTTTTCATGTGTATGAATACAGGGAATAATATAAATTATTGTGGTTATAAGAAAATTTATGTAGTAATTACGGCTTGAGGTGGGTAGAAAAAGGTGTAAATTGTAGCATAGATCAGACCATATTTATTCGCTTTTCGAATGTTGTAAATGAATAACACGAGAGAAAAATATAAATTTATATGTGGTTATAAGAAAAAGTTAATTGGTGATTCCCTTTAGTAAAAGATAAATTACTTCTAACCTTTGATGTACTTAGTGGTGGGATATTCCCTGTGGCTTTGTGGTAATCTTATGGTTTAATAAATGGGTACCAGTAAGAATTAAATCTAATGGTATTTTTAG